CCCTTCGCTCCTCCTGTCAGGGAGGGGCCTGTGGGTCCAGCCTGCGGCCCCTTCAGTCTCTTGGCTCTGTCCCCCTCGGGCAGGTCAGCTAACACCCAGCCAGCCCCACGTGATCCGCACCTCCCGGCCTGGCCCAGGTGGGCACCGAAGGTTAGTGCGCTTGTTGGAGCCCACATGCTGCTTAGGAGCCAGGACCAATGGGGGTGTGTCTGACCCCCCCCTTCCAGCACCCTATACAGTTGTCTGTCTGTTTTCAGGGTCAGGACCCCTGTGTTCCAGTTTCGCCCACCTAATCACCCCCCTTCCTGATGGCCTGGGAGTCATGATCCTGGGGCTGGGACCTCAGGAGGAGCCGGCCCGTGCAAATCCCGGGACCCCAGGATCGAGGTAGCCCGCCCACATGTTGGCATAGTCTTGGATCCTGGCCACTGTCCTGCCACCCTCCTACTGCTGGCACTGGGGCCTGAGCAAGCAGTACCTGCTTTCCGGATTGCCCCACCCCAGGTCGGCCCTTGGGGGGCCTGCTGGGCCCCTGTGCTCACACCTTGAGTGGTGGCCAGGAAGGAGTCCTCTGGGAGCCCAAGCCCAGGGTTCTGGGCTGGGGGAACCGGGACACGGGTAACGGGAGGTCCGATCTTAAATCCTTGGTGCTGGGATGCTGGGAGAAGTGGGGGTCCATCCTGGCTCTGCCGCTCTCACATGGTCTGTTCACTGTCCCCATGGCCTGCTCTGTCTGCCTGTCTGTCTCCCTCCTGCTTGTCTGTCTCACTCTTGGACTTTTCTGTCCCATGGTACCAACGGTACTGGCCTGGGCTAAGCCCTACATGGTTGTGGATGGACCTTGGGCAGAGCTGGACCCTCTGGGTCTGAGGCCTGTGACCTGCCCAGGATGAGCAGAGTGCTGAGGGCTGAGAGGGAGAAGGGGACACCAGGCCTTCAGCACACACATGGCCAAGGACAGGGCCCGGGGTGAGATGTGAATCCCTCCTGGTCTTTTGGAGGCTCTCCGGCTCCTTCCGACACCCTAAGCCTTTGACCTTCAGGACCCAGTCTCCGCTGTGCTGGGGCCAGCGGGCTCCTCCAGCAAGCCCACGGACCGCTCCTTCTCCGCCCCATCCTCACAACCTCCCGAGCTCGCCTTGGAGAGAAACGGTGACCTGCCACTGTCACCGACCGTGTGGGTAAGACCACTGGTTGGAGTCAGGAGGCCTGGGTTCTGGCCCTGGCTCTGCCACTAGCTGTTGCAAGGCCTTTGCGGTCCTTTTGCCTTTCGGGGCTCTCTTGGGCAGTCTAGTGGGGAATCGGGTGACCTCCGAAGGCTGCTGACCAGAACGCTGGGGGTGGGGGCTGCCTCGCTCAACATGTCCCCAAGGAGCCAGGCTGAGTAAAGGGCTGGCAGACTTCCTCCTTGGGGAGATGTTTTCCCCTAGAAGTTTGGGCTGGTCCCAGGAGCCTGGGAGTCTGAGGACCCTGGGTAGGAGCGGGGCCAAGGTTTCCTCCTGGCCAGGGCTCCCAGCTCCTGCTTCAGGGTGGAGGGTAGGAGGTTACTCAACGCTGGGTGGGGCCCTGGAAAGGAAGATGGCGCCCGACTGGGAGAGGGAGGGACAGAGACAAGTCTGGCAGCTTTGGGACAGGGTGGGAGGGGAAGGCTTCTTTCTAGGGGTCTCCTTCCTGGGGGTGAAGAGGCCCCAGACTGAGAGAGGGGGCCAGGAAGGCACAGTGGAGGCAACTGGGCTAGAACAGGGTCTGCAGCCACAGATCTGTCCCTCAGCCGTCTGCACTCCTCTCTGATTCCTGTCTGAATTCCTTGCTTTCCTTGAACTGCCACCACTTCTGCCTCTGGCTGCCTCAGTTTCCCTTCCTGTCCAGCCACGCCCTCAATTCTTTGCCAAGCGCATCCCCCACCACTAAGCTGGGGCAGTGGCTCCCCCGAGAGTGTGTGCCTGTGGGAAAGCGGCTATGAAGGCCTGTGGGGTGAGCGCCCGCCTCCTGCCCTCCCTCCAGCCTCTACCTCCCGAAAGAAGCCCGGGCCCTACCGCCTGCCACCGACAGAATTCCAGCCACGAGGGGGCGCCTTTCTGCCAGCTGCCCCGGTGGGGAGCCGGCCTAGGCCCCAGGAGTTCTGAGCCGGCACCACCCCAAGGGGTACTTGTGGGGGGCCTTCCAGCCTCATCAGGAGATGGCTGCCCCCAGAGAAGGGCCCAAGGAACTGGGGCCCGCGGGGCGGTGGGCGCGCTCACCTCCAGAGCTTGCCCAGCGTCTTGCTGAGCTCGGCGTTGTGCAGGTGCGGGTACTGGTCCGCCAGCTTCCTGCGCGCCGCCTGCGCCCACACCATGAAGGCGTTCATGGGCCGCTTGACGTGCGGCTTGCTCTTGCTGGCGCCGTTGACGCGCACGGGCATGGGCACCAGCGTCCAGTCGTAGCCGCTCAGCACCTGGCTGACCGCCTCGCGGATGCACACGGGGAACTTGTCGTCGTCCGCCTCGCCGTCCTGCTGCTCCTTCTTGACCTTGCCCAGCTCTCCCGGCCCCGGGCTGGCTCGCAGGCCCGAGCCCCCGCCGCCGTCGGGCCCCAGCGAGGGCGCGCTCCCCGGGGACAGGCAGCGCGGCTCCTCGGAGCCCACGGGGCTCAGCTCCACCTCGGAGAGGTCCTGCTCCTCCGCCATGTCGCCCCCGGCCGCCACCGCCTCGGCCGCCTCCCCGGGGCCCGCCGCCGGCGTCCTCGCGAAGAGTCCCACGCTCACCTGGACGGGAAGGAGGGTGCGATGGAGCGGCTGCGTGCGCAGCCCCGACGGCGGCGGGGCGCCTGCCTTCTCCCCCTAACCCACGGCAGCCCCGGGCGCGCGCACACCGGACCAGCGTGGCCTCCTAGCTCCTGCCTCCGCGTCTTCCCACCACCTGGTCCCAGCCGTCTCTTGGTGTGGGTGGGCTTGGGATTTCTTTCAACCTCCTTTTGGGTGGAGGTTTGTTGATGGAAAGTTATAAAAACGGACTCTTTATTCTGCTCTAATCCTGGCTCCTGGAATTTCCCACCTTTTCTCTCACCTTTCCTCCTTCCCTTCTGCCTGCCCGCCGGTCCAGAGGGGCTGGGTGGGGGGCAGGTGAGGATGTCAGCCGCTCTCCACCCCAGGCCTCACCCTGGGTCCAGGCCTGGGCCCTGGACGGGAGGAGCGGGCTGCGCACTCACTCACCTCCTCGGACCTCTCCTCCAGCCTGGGGCTCGTCCTCAAGAAGTGGAAAACCGTGTCCCAAGGTGTGCGGTCCAGCTCGGAGCTGGGGGTTGACGCTGGTGGGCTGGGAGGGAGGGGCTGGGGGGCCCTGAGCCTCAGGCCACGGCCTCGTCAGGACGGAGCCTGAATCCTCACCACCAACCACCCTGGCCGGACAGCCTGAGACTGACTGAGCACTGAGCTGCTGCCGAGGGCTGGGGACGGAAGGAGGGGGAGAGGGGGAGGGGGAGGGGAGGGAGGGAAGGGCAGAAGGTGGAGCCTCCAGCGCTTTCCTTCGTCCCCAACACTCAGGGCTCCTCCGCCAGGCCCCCCCACCGCAGCTCCCTGCGCGCTGCCCCAGGCCCATCTTGGGGCCTGAGTTAGTTGGGGAGGTGTAGGAGTGGGCTAGTGAAGCCAGGAAAGTCGAGGGATGCACGTGGGTGGGGCCAGAACCTGTTGCTTGGAGGAAAATTGGGCCCAGCTGTGACCCCATTCTCAGCCTCAGGTGGCAGCTAGCAGGGGCCTGGGGAGGACGAGGAGAAGGCAGGTGAAGGTCTGTTGGTGTGTGAGGGTGGCTGACATTAAGACATCTCATGGAGTGCTGTGGACAGGCCCCGCTTCTCAGCTGTCGCACTGCCTCAGCCGCTACCCTGGCTGCCCTCTGGGCCTCAACTTGCAGTGATCCAGGTCTAGACTTTGGTATGGCAGCAGGCAGCTAAACACCTCCTGCCCAGTGCAGATGCCCCGGCTTGGCCCTGGTCCCTTCTCGCCGGACACCCCGCGCACATAAGGGTGGGTTGGCTCACCATAGACAGACAGGACTGAAGTTACCGGTAGGCTGGGCTTGGGGCCGAGGGTCCTCTTCAAGTAGGGCTGAAAGGCTTCTGGGGCCCCACTTCCTGGGACCCCACTCCTGGGACCCTACTTCCTTCACATTGAGTTTACACACTCTTGGTGGGGGTCCCAGTCCTGGTTATCATGAAGTCCCCCACTCCCACTCCCTGCTCCCCTCTTCCTCCTCTTTGCCAGTTCTCCCCTCAGCCCCCTCCCCAGCTGGGTGAACCCTCCATTTTTCCGTCTTGCTCATCACCCAAGGCTCCTTTTTTCTCCTTTCCTAGGTCTCTCTTCCGAAGGTCATCTCCCTTGCCCTCTCAGTGGGCGGTGTGAGGCAGAGGTGTGTGCATGGAGGGCAGGTGGAGCCTGGGCCCACTGGCCACCAGGTATGGTCTGAGCTCCTCAGCAGCTGGCCAGTGCCCCAGGCCCACCCCAGGGAGTCCTGTCTGCAGTGGGGCTGGAAGGGGGTCTGGGCAAGGCCTCATGCTTGGGAAAGGCCAAGGGGTGGAGGGGGGTGGGTAATGGGACACAATGAAGTAGTCACACGAGGCGAAGGCATGTTGGGGCTGGGGGGAGCGGACATTGAAACACACACACACACACACACACATGCTTGAACACCACCAGCCAGACAATCGGGCCAGTGTGTCTGGGGCCTCGGAGCCCAGTGAATTAGGAGTTTGATAAGGGTTTTCTCTTTCTCTCGCTTGCCGGCCTTGGACAATCTCCCCCCAGTTTTCCTCGACGCCACCCCCGGCGCTGCCAACCCTCCTCCCCCCGCCTCCCTTCTCTTCCCTGTGCCCAGACTCTTGTTCGGGGCCTTGAAACAGTGAGCTGTCTTTGTTCGAAATACAGGTGAACGGCAATCATGTGATTAACACACACACACATAAAAAGCTTTTTAACAGCGCCCGCCCGGCCTCAGAACCGCCCAGAGAGGAGCCGCCCTGGATGGACAGAGGGACGGAGGGACGAGCATCCAGCCGGTCGTGTCTGGCTGCCTGCAGCACTCTCCAACACCCGCTGCTGCCCATCCGCTGCCCGCCTGCCTGGCATCTCTTGATCCCGGTGGGTCCCCATTCATCCTTCCACCCTTGGTTCCTCCTCTTGGAGGGAAGGGCCTGCTGCCCCCTGTGGTGTCTGTGGTCGGTCCTGAGACCCCCTGGGGCAGGGAGGGGTGGCTATGGAGGGCGAGGGCCCAGGGTGGAAGCTGGGTGTGGGGTCCCACAGTTCCCCTCTCTGACTCCCACCTCCTCCCTTACTCTCCCCGGCCCAGCTGCACCAGGATGGGGGTGGGGGTGGCATTGGGTGCTGTGGGCCTGCAGAGAAGCCATGGTGGACAGAGGGGGGCCTCTCTTTTCCCTTCCTTCTGTCTCTCCCTTTCTCCTCCCCTCTCCTCAGTGTGTGCTTGGGCTTTCTGCTGAGAGGTGCTGGATGAGCAGGTGGGCCGCAGGGGTGGGGGGAGGGCTGTCAGATGCCCAGGGCTGTGGGGGTGGGGACTCCCACTGTGTACACTTTCCTCCATCCACCCACCATGTTGGCAGCTGTGATCCCCTCCATCCCATTCCAGGCCCTGGGGGCCCAGCTTTCTCCAGCAGGGGAGGATAAAGGCCCCATACTCATCCCTGGAGAGCAGGGAGTTTGGAGAGGGGGAGGAGCCCAGGATTAAGACATTGGCCTCTGCCCTGGGCAGAACCGCCAGGTGGGCCAGCGCCACCTCCTGCTCCCATCCCAGTGCGGGTGGGAGGGGCCCCTTCCCCCTCACTCCTGACCCTTCCCCCAAGGGTGCTCATCAGGACCCTTCCCCCCCACACGCAGCCCAGGCTGCCCCCTCGGTGAGGCGGGAGAGGGGGGCTCTGGGCCTGTCCTCGCCCAACGCGCCCGCCGAGTGTGAGTGTATTGGAAAGTCAGGCGTCCTTTCCTGGGTGGAGAAGCCTTTCAGGAGCAACAGTATTTTCCTGGGATCCAACCTGGGTGCTGTCAATACTGGTCCCAGCCCCTGAGGGGAGGAGAAAGCCCACTGATGACCCGCCTGGCAGGGCTGCTGCTGGCTGCAGTGACCCTTAACCCCTGAGCTCCCCGAGCTCCCTTCCCAGGGCACCCGTCCTGCTTCCGCGGAAGGGTCGGCCCTAGGTTCCCTGCTCTGGGCCTGGTCCCTCACCTGTCACCTGGGGCAGTGCTCGCTCTCCCGCCAGGAGACACGCTTCCCAGTCCCTCAGGTGGCTGGGCTGAGGGCCGAGGCGGACCCGGGAAAGCGCCCTCCCCCTCTGGTGCTGTGTGGCTGATGCGTGGGCCAGGCTGTCCTCTCCCTGTTCTGCAGGCCTGTGCCCTCCCAGCACCTCGAACACGCACCAGCCCCCTCTAGCACCCAGGGACCCTTGCACCCCACCGCTGGTTGGTGGAGACAGGTGGCCCCAGGCTCTCCATGCAAAGGTGCAGGGTCACCTGGTCCCATTCTTTGGGCCCAAGGCGGGGCCTGAGACGCTGCATGTCTGACAGCTTCTGCCCAGAGCACTGGTTTGATGTTCTTTAGAAGTGTGTGGAGATTTTAAAAATACTGAAACTTGGATCCCGTTGCAGACTGGCTAATGGTGAACTGAGCAGGAGGTCCAGGCATGTCTACCTTCCGAACCTCCCTTGGGGCCTTGCTCACCCTCACTTGGCTCTCTGGAGCCCAGACTATGATGACCCCCCTGCAGGACCCAAAATCTCTAGGGACAGGGTCGGGGGCTGGGGCTCTGGACCCCAGAGCTGGAGGCCAGAAGTATAGTTCCACTGGGGTGTGGCAGGGGAGGGGGACTGAAGAACTTGGGTCAGGGGTCAAGGGTACGATAGTGACCAATACAGAAGCTTAGTCCGGGTGCATGTATGGGGAGCGTGTGGGGCTCCGAGTATTTCCTGGGCCACCCCCACCTCTGGCCAGGCTGTGTTCTTGGTGTGGGGCCCAGGAAAGCGCGGGCCTTGGAGTGGGGACCCTGCTGTTGGTGTCCCTGTGGCCTTGGGCGAATGATGCCCGTCTCCCAGGACCTGGCTTTTGCATGTGTAAAGTGCTGATAATTTTATCTATTACATGTGAGTACTCAATATGTGGTCATTAGGAAAAGGACTTTAGTACTGAGAGGTGAGGAGACTTACTTTAAACGCGCAGGGATTTACTGGGGACTTGCCTTCAGGAGTTAATAATCTGCCTGTTGACTCCCAACATCAGACCAGGGTGGTGTGTGACAGGTCCCTCGTGGGTGGGCCTCGCTGGCCTGCACCCCCACTTCTAGAGCCTCCCGTGGACAGGCCCAGCTCAGAACCCCTGACCCTCGACTCACTGGGTCCTCTCCTTTCAACAATCCTGAGTAGGTGCTGTTATCATTTTCCCTCTCAGAGGGAAACTGAGGCACAAAGAGGCCCAGTGACAGGCCTGAGCTCACCCAGCTGATGATGGGAGGGTGTGGACTGGCCCCCGAAGTTCACCTCCCAAGCTCACCTCTGACCCCTGGGCTCTACGGCCATCAGACCGAGGGCCCGTCCCCCGCCCTGTCCCGCTTGCTCTCCTCGTCACTGCTGCAGCCCAGCTCGGGCCCTGGCCTCCTGGACGCTGGTTGGAGTTCTTGTCCTGTGGTACTTGCCCAGGGAAGTGAGGCAGGAGCTTAGTACCTGCCTTCCTCCTCACGCACGGCTGCTGTCCAGGCCAGTGTCCACGTCCTCCTGGGAGCCCCTGAGGGCGGGGCCATGGGCCCAGCAGGACCTCACAGAGTCTTCCCCGAGCTGAGTTACCTTCCAAGCTCCAAGGATGAACCGATCAGAGGGGCTGGAGCAGGCAGGAGTGGCTTCCTGGAGGCGGAGGGCCTGAGTGCTGGGGGAGGGGGCATTCTGGGGCCTGTCCCAACAGAGGCTGTCGGCTGTCCTTGTTTCCAGTCCAAGCTGAGGGTCCTGGACCCAGGCCAGGAAGGCAGGTCCTGGGGCCTAAGTCTTCCTTCCTCTCCTAATCCCGCCCTTTCCAGGAACAAGGGAGCTGGGGCTAATGCCCAGCACCGCCTCGGGGCAGCTGGCCTCTGTCCTCTTCTTAGAAGCCCTCAGAGAAGGAGACTGCTCGTTCCTGTCACCCAAGTCCAGCTGCCGGAAAGTCCTTCCTGGTGTCTCCCTTGAACCTCTCAAGCTGTGGTTAACTTTTGTGAACGTACCCTCTGTGCAGGGCACGGCCAGAGCTGGGGTGGGGAGGGTGATGGAGGTCAGAGTATGACCTCAAGGAGCTGAGTTTAATGGGAGACACCTTCCCAAAAACCCGGAACCCTGGCACAGCCGAGGTCCTCCACGGCTGAACGGGCGGCTGGAGCCCCAAGGGCCGGGGTCAGGTGCAGCTGGACTCCGGGGGCCCTGTTGCCTCACCCGCCTTCTTCCCCTGTGAAATGGGGGCCAGGCCAGTTGTCGCTGAGGGCGCGCCCAGATTCGACAGCCCGTGAGTGATATTTCAAAACAAGAGGCCATGCCTGAGCCAGTGTTTCTAAGATGGTACCTCAGGCCCCTGCTGTTCCTTAGACCTGAACCGAATTTCTTGAAGAGACTTTTGTGGGCGAATCTGTTTGGGAAGCAATGTGTTCACTTCCTCTTTCTAGAGATGCTCTAGGTGCTGCAGTTAAGAAGTGGATCTGCTTAAAGTTCTTATCCTGACCCCCCTTCCTCCCATTCTGGTCCTTTTCTCTCCCTCTCTCCTAGGAGTCAAGAAGGTGGGTGTCCCTTGAGGAGCTCTGCAGGGAGGGCTGGGCACTGCTTAGGACACTGTCCTCAGTTCTTCGTGCCCCCAGGATCCCAGCACAGAGCTCCACAGCCCCCACACCCTACCTTGCCCCTACCCTTGACCTAAAGCTGCAGCCACGTTGGTTCTCCCCACTCCAGAGGCGTGGCCCGAGCTCCAGCAGGCCCAGCCCTGTCCACGGGACACCTTGCCGGCTGGCCGGGGCCAGGAGCCCTCCCTGCCTCCTGCCTCGCTCACCTTTGCACCAGGACATTGCTCCCCCTGGGTTTGTCCCTGTGAACGGGTCTGTGTCACCTGCCACCATGTCGCCTGGCGCATGGAAGGCACACAGCGACGTGCAGGAATGAATCAACACACAGGCAGCAAGGTGCGGTGCTCTCGTCAGACGCTTCAGGTTGGAATCCTGGCCCCACCATGTATTAGCTGTGTGTTCCTGGCAAGTGACTTACTGTCTCTGAGTCTCCGTCTCCTTCCAGGTCGTGGGGTGGATTAAATCAGATAATGTATGTAAATACGACAGTGCCTTGAACATGACAGGCTCCGTAAATGGCAGCTGTTGTCATTAGCATCTCGGGGATCTGCCTGCAGAGGTGGCTGTCGGTTGACCTTGGGTGTGATAGCAGTCACTGCTTCTTGTCCTGCCAAAGTGCTGTCATGGCTGCTCCCCCATCGCTCCCAGTAACCCTGGGGACTTGCAGAGCCAGGACAGGACTGTCATCACATTGAACCAAAGCAGAAAGGGGTGGACGGGGTTGACTGTGACTGATTGAGGTCACATGACTGTTAGTCATGGAACCTGATCTCTCTGCCGTGACTCTTTGCACCCGGGTGTTTTTTGAGGACCCACCCTAGGCAAGGCTCTGCTGTCTGAAGGGTAATGAAGAGGGAGGAGTCCTCGCTTTGTCTTCAAGGACACTGTCCATGAGCTGGGAGTTGGTTGGTTGGTTGGTTGGTTGGTTGGTTCATTCATTCATTCATTCATTCATTCCCACACACTTCACAGTCAGGGCAGCACAGACATGTGAGGATGAAGAATGGGGCAGGTGGAGGGAAGAAAGGGTGGGAAGGGCCGAGGGTGGCCTTTATCAGATGAGACCCAGATGTTGTCCCTGGAGGGGCTGCTACTGCAGGGCAAGGTGGCTGTGTGGCAAATGCAAGGCCTGTGTCCTTCCATCATGAGCAGGCAACTGGGCAACCTGGGGGTAGGGATGCCGGAGGGCAGGGGCAGGGGGCTGGCCTGGGCATGAACAGATGCCCGTTTGAGGTTGGGTTGTGAGTGCATCCCTGACCTCACAAGGTTACCTTTGTCCCCTCAAAGTGA